AAATTAAATTTTTTTTATTTTTGTATACATATATATTTATTAAAGTTCTTTATTTTTATAAAAAAAGAAAAAACTACGAAGCGACGCATTAAAACATTTAACTCAACGTATTGACGACTAGTCGTCGAAGAAAAACGAAAAAAGTAGCGATTTTAACACTCTTCTCTCGATCACGAGAGACTCTTATTCAATATTTGCCCTGCATATTTGGGAAACAGGCGTTAAAATGCTTCTGTCTTTCTCTCTGTGAGGTAGGCATCAGAATCCTTCGCGTCTTTATTTGTTCGACGAAAGCGAGTCCCGGTGAGACAGTTCCTGGGCATTTTCTTCGAGGCTGCGTGAACCATTCTCGATTTAAACCCTCGGAAAACAAAACAACGGAGAATTCTAAGACAGCAGCTCCACCTCCGCCTGGATGTTCTGGCGCGCCTGTTCCTCCAGCTTGTCGCGAAACTCCATGGTGGCGAAGATGTTTGGGATCTGCAGGAAGTTCTGCAACACCTAACGAGCATAGGAACATCCGTAAAGAAGAATACGATAGCGTTAAATCAAATTTCTTTTCTTACATAATTTCTAGGTAAATTTAATCTCTAATCTTATAGATATTCTCTATTTATATCAAAAAGATTAAGATTCATCGCGATAATTTTTCTGCAATTCGAATTCTCGCAAACTCTTAACAAGATGCATTCTTCGGTTATACAGGGTAATCTTTACCTTCAGTCGCAGTGCTGTGTACATGGGTTCGCTGAGGAAGGAGTACTCTCCGCGTATTCGCTCCCTATACTCGGCATAACTATCCGGAGAGGAGCCGAGCACCGCCATGTCCAGGTCCAGAAAGTAGTGAGCGTCTTCGCCACCGAACGCACCCCCTACTTTATGCGCCTCGGTGCTATGAGTAGCCGCCACTTTGAGCAGGGCGCACGTTTCTTCTCTGAGCTCCGCATCCTTTTCAAGGGATTATAAATTATTACTTCATGTCATATCTACGCTAATACAAGGTAGATGTTTATTTTTATCGTTTTTCGCGTTCAGCTCTGATATCCTAATCTACTAATATAGTCACAAATTTAATATAATAATTTTTAGTGAAATAAATAACATCGTGTTTTTATTCTTTGCTGATTTTATCTTAGAATCGGAAAAAATTGCGCTTTATTTTCTTTTTATTGTTATTTTTTAATAAATATAAAATGTTTATAATATAAACTTCTTTCCGAAGAAACAAACATTTGTTCTTTTGGATCAAACTGTTATATTTTGCAACGCAAACTATATATTTATCGCATTTGTATTAACATACTTGGATACTCGACTTGAAATCGATGGAATATACTAACCAACGGAATTTCCGCTTCATCGGCGAAAGCATTGAAGTGTTCGAGATTTTTATCCTCGCCGTCTAGAGCCTTGGGATCGTACTCGAAACTGCAACAGAATTTTCGGATTAGTATCAGTAGCGATAAAAATAATAGTAATTTAATAATAAAAATATAGAAATACGTCACTCACTTTTGAAAGAATATGGCGAGCAGGACGGCACGTGGATTTTTTAGATTTCCTTTGATTTCATAGTAATGGTTTAGCTTCTCCCTGAGCGAATCCAGATTGTGGTATGTGCGTTTCTCCTCCGAGTAGACCTCCTGCAGGCGCGTGAACCAGGCATCGCAGACTGCGGCGTCCAGGCCTTCCGTAGCCTCTTTCCAACTATCCTCCAGCGATACCATTGTTGCTGAAATTGTTCCTTCTGTTTAATTCTCGAATAGTATATGCAAACATGAAGATGAGAATTTTATTAATTTATTAATTAGAAGCTGAAATATGTATTTATCATAAAGACACACCGATACATTTATAATGTCTGAAAACAATATTTATTCATAAAAGAAGTATTTGCCAAGAATAGGAAATTAACGTAAAATCCGTTTGAAATAAACCAGTTGAGAGATTTAAGTGATCATATTTGTAACGATTGGCAATTCAACGCACACAAAATTGCGATTATAAAAACTATATTTATATATTTACATATTTATATATTTATATATTTTTTTATTTATTTACAGGTAGACAAAGATATTAATGCCGCAAAAATCGGAGCAGAGTCGCGGTATTTGATATCCTACGTTCCAAAATTTGAGGATCCGAAGAAAGGTCAGCACCGAGAATTCGAGAATCCGAATATATTTTTTCAATTTCCTCAGAGATCCATAAATTCCGCCTTACGTAAGCACGAATACGGAGTATACTCGTTATGCACTCACTTGTCCCTTTTGACGGACGAAGGAAGAACCGTGATACGGTAGGGAATAGCAGGAATTACCGAAACATGATTCACGTCACGACCGCGCTTCGCGAAACGGCACTGTCACGCAGAGCGTTTTACGTTGCGTCGCCGCCGTTGGCCGACAAAACAGTCTCCTCCTCCACTTATTGATCACCCACGACGGCTGATTCGAGCCTCTCTACATAAAGTGGCCACTGCACAACCGTGGAGGCGCATATTTTCATCGAGCGTACAAAAATTCTCTCTTGTGCGATTTCTACATACTTTGTGGAAGAAAAAAGATCTCTCTTCGTCCCTTGCGCAGAGAAAATTTCCATCGACACAGCGCTTTTTCAGTCTATGAACGACCTCGAAAACAGAATTTCCATAGTGTTATAATTGTACATTGTTCAATAAAAAATAATTTTTTTTTGCACAAGTAAGAAGATGAACATTTTCCGTAGTTTTTTTTTAACGATATCAATATGATTTCGATTTTGAGAAATTTGTAGTCAAAGTTGCAAAAAAAAAAATTATTTTGATATATTTTACTGTCTTATAGAGAGTTATTATATATGTGATATGTTCATCACAATTTTGGAATTTGGTCATGAATATGCTTTGCGTATGTAATTTGAAAAAAAGATAAGTTTCCACAATGGTTTTTTGTTCACGTATTACTGGTGTTTTATTGCGTATAATAGATGAACATATATTAGCATTCAATCGAAAATTGTCTATAAATGCTGAGATAATCTTTCGCATCGTTTTATGCGCTAATAATCAGTAGAAAAGTACGTGTATAAAAATCAGATTGAACACATTCGAGGGCTTTCGAGAGAATATTCGTGCCAAGTGCCAATCGATTGTCAAATTCGATACCCGGCATGGCATGGCACTGCCCGTAGCTGTAGTGCCTGTCCACAATGGTTGCCGAAAATATGACAAGATGACTGTAAATAACGTATTATTGTTCTATGTAACCTTAATCGCGCCGATTTCTATCGTTTTATTTTTGTACGGTTTCTTTCCGATCGCTCATCATGGCGACGCGGTTGCCTCGCGATCAGATATTCCAAATTACATCGGCAACGTGAGGTAAATTAACCTTATTTTCGCACTCATGCAATTATTAATTAAACGTTGTTAATATCTATATTAATAAATTAAAGTGAATTAAATTTTGTTGATATTTATATAAAATTAATTATTTTAATGCATATTAATATGTATTGATGTTAATATTAATGTTTTATAAAATTAGTGGTTTATATTTATATTATATTTATTAATTTATATTTGTATAATATATTAAAAAGTTATATATTTATTAAAGGTATATGTTTATTAAAGGTTTATTAAAGGTATATATTTATTAAAAGTGATATGTTTTATTGCAAGATATATATTAACAAAGTTTAATATATAAATATTGAATACTATTTCTATCTTTTTCTATCAAATTAGTAAAAATTGTCAATATCTTTATAGATGTAAATGTATATTAATGCACTAATTTAAAAAATATATGTTTATACACACATGCTGTTTTCAGCATAAAGAAACATGCGCTGTATAGACCGATGATAACAAGATTGATAATCATGGTGATCGACGCGCTACGATGGGACTTTGTAGCGGGTCCAACACGAAATGTCACTATGCCAATGACGAGTAAGCTCCTGACAAACTCTTCTGGGTGTTTGTTACAAGTCAAATTGCAATCGCCGACAGTGACAATGCCTAGAATAAAAGTAAAACTATTAATTTTATTATTGATTTTTTGGAAATAACATCTAATGAGATTTCTTTCTTAAAAATGAAACATTTGTGTAACACAGTTTGTTGTTCTTACTTTTCAACAGGCAATGATGACTGGTACAGTACCAAATTTTGTAGATATAGTACTGAACTTTGGGAGTAAACCTCTGCACAATGACAATTTATTGCTTCAAGCAAAGAAGTATGGGCACAAATTGGTATTTTACGGAGATGACACTTGGCTCTCTCTGTTTCCCCATATATTCGAGCGCCATGACGGCACTACTTCGTTTTTTGTTACAGACTTTACAGAGGTAATTACATGTCGCACTGGTAATAAGCTGTATTATGATAATTTCATTGGCAGATCCTTGGGTTTTTCTGCTGATTGCTTATTAGATTGCTAATTTTATAAACAGGTGGATAATAATGTAACTCGACACTTACGACACGAGTTGAATAACAATGATTGGACTGTGATGATTCTCCATTACCTTGGACTCGATCACATTGGTCATGTTGAAGGTCCGTTTGGTGCGTCGATTAAACCCAAATTACAAGAAATGGATAAAATTATCAATAAGATAGCTCAAAGAGTGCAGTATTGGGTTAGTAGCTGAAAAATGCCTTAATTCTCTTAATTCGCTTCGTAATCTCTTTTCTTTTATTTTTTTTCTTTATTTAATCAATCATCTTGTGAAATCATCTTTTAATCCATTTCAACTTCAATTTGATTTTATCATATATCTTTATTGTGCAATTATTTTATTCTATCACCTCAATTCTTTCTCCTTTCTGTACTTGTAACCAGTTACTTGGAAAAGATTTTATCACTTAGACATCATAATTAATTTATTTTTATGATATCATATATTTATTCAGGATATATTACGTGATATATTGCATATAATGTTTACAAGATATTACTTTGTGAATATTTTTGTGAAAATTATAATTACGTTACATTTATTTAATGCATAATAAAATAATATCCACTAGTAGTTTTTACTTACCCGCTGGGTTATTTTTAGAACACCGACGGGATACCCGCGCTCTTCATCATCTGTGGCGATCATGGGATGAAAGACTCGGGCGGTCACGGCGGGTCGACACCGCAGGAAACAACGGTGCCGTTTATCGCGATAGGAGGAACTCGCTGTTCTCATCGGGAAAACGGTGAACCGGTTAAAATCGAGCAACTTGACATAGCAGCAACGCTGTCGACTGCCTTTGCATTACCTATTCCTTGCGCAAACCTCGGCTCCTCGTTCTTGGACAGCATTTACGATCTGGACGATAGTAAACGACTATTTCTTCTCCATTACAATTCGAGGCAGGTGCTCGATCATTTCCGGAAGCTCGTCTATCGAGAATCACAAATTGAATGTGAGTATTGATTTAGTTATTCACGAATCTCTGGATATATTATAGAAATTAGTAGCCAAGAAGGTGAGAAACATAAAATTTTAGAAATGGAGAAATTAAGAAATCGATTGTTTATACTTTCCGCTTCTGTCATCTCATTATCGATCGACCTTATCTTCTGATATCTCATCCTGCAAAATATTCCGAATTAACGGATATATGAATCGAGCATTGCTACGATAACTTCCAGATGTGAACCGGAAGTATTTGGATGTTGTGAATTTGCATGCTGCTTGGTTGAAGACGAATGAAAGATCAAGCAGGATGGTCGGGATGATTGTCTCGTCTTACAACGTGATTCTTACAGAAATGAAGGATGCCCTAATCAGCAGCATAGTCGAGTACGACTTTCGTCCGATGGCTCTTGCCATGCTCTTTCTGTGTCAGGTGAGTAAAATATACAGATAATTAAAAAATTCAAGATATCAGAGATCAAAAAAGAGTATTGAGTTTATAATCCTCAAAAAAGAAATCCTCTGTTATTTAAATATAAGTTCTCTAGTAGATATAATTTCCTGTAGATAGATATATACAATTTCTTCTGAACAGATTGAATTGAATTAAGAACTTTATAAATTATTCTACACCTTCTTTCAGATACTCGTAATTTTGTTTTTTGCACGAAAAGTAGCTTGGACTATGCATTTCTTGAAAAAATCCTTCTTGATATGTTTTTTCTCGTGTCTGGGGATATATTATTTTTCCAATTCTGAAAGCGTGACGTTGCTTCATCTGACGAGTATATTCAATGCTCTATTGTTCCTACTCCTCGTCAGCATCTTATACATAAACTGTGTTCTTTGCGTAAACAGCGAATTATCTCTCATAAAGGTGAGAAACTATTTATTTAATTTTCAAAACTAAATATGTAGATTAAGACTGATAACTGTTGATTAAATGTCTACATATTTATTTTCATATATTGAAAATTTAAACAAAAATGCTTAAAAATCATAGAATTCTCAAAATTGTTTTACAAAATTTGAGTAGACATTTTGTTACGGTTTAATTACAAAGCGAAACATATCCATTCTATAATTTTTATGATATACGAATCTGATAATAGAGTTTCTATTACATTTTTTATTTGTCGAAAGTTTAAAAAAAAAAAAAAAAATTTTTTTGAGATGTCCTTAACGTGTTATAATTTTTAATTGGACATAGTTCACAAAGAAGCCAAGGATATGTGGAGTGTTCGAAATCGGCGCGTTATTGCATATAGCGAGCCTTGCAGGCAGCAGCTTCATCGAGGAGGAGCATCAGACGTGGTATTTCTTCTGGTCCACTACGGTCTCATATTTCCTCTATCGTTGCTTCACGAGGTTGTTCGCGTATGAACGATAGTGAGTATATTAAATACATTACTTTTTATCTAAAAAAAGACTAGCAATTAATTAATAAAAATTTTAAAAAGGTTAGAAAATTTATATATATTATTTTTATCGATAATATTTAATATTTTTATTATTTATTAAACTATTTTAATTTATAAACGTATTTTATGTATGAAGAATCTAATAATCGTTTTTATAAGTTATATATAGAGTGAAGAAAAAAAATAACACAAGTGTTAGATAGGACATTTTCTAAAATCTACAGTTTTCGAAATGGCGTTCCGTTATTTTTTTTTCTTCACCCTATATAAAAAAATAATAAAATTTGCATCAGATTCGAATGTTCATTACGTCTCAGCTGAATCTTTCACTAGCTAACAGTGTGGTATACAATAGCGATCTTACGAGCGATCTAAGGGTGCGAACCGGGGTGGATCGACGTTACGGGAATTCTAGGCATCCGCGCCACTTAGAACTTTGCGCTAAGCTATTATTGCTACTGATAGGGCATAGAGTTCTGCGAAAGCTAAACAGCACCGGTGACAAATGGGCGCACCTACCCGACTTAGCTTGCTGGTTGAAGGAGGACAACAGCAAAATCGGGATGACGCTCCTGCTTCTAGCTGGTGAGTGTCTTTAAACTTGGTGATGAGAGTTTTATATATAGAATGTTTCATGACAAGCTTTTCCAATGCGATATTCGTCTTACAGCGCTCGTTCTTCTGATCTGGATCGCGTATGTATGCGAAGACAAGGAATACAGATGGCAATCGTTGATATTTAATACGGCCGTTGCGGCATGTATATATCTTCGTCATATGGCCAACAATGCCGTTCTGAGAATTCCATTATATTTCTCGTCTAGGTAAATATATAACACAATATAATACAGTAATATTATACAATTACTGTACAATTGGCATATATATATTCCGTATAAAATTCAATTTCTAAATCATTTATCGAAACAATTATGCGAATAATAATAACAAAGCACGGTTAAATTTCGTTTGCCGCAGTGGAATATATGAAGTACAGATGTTTTGGGGAATAATAATGCTGTTCCTTCTAAGCTATGGCTATCGAGTGACATTAATAATTAGACGCGACAAGCAACGTTTCGCGAGTACAATGCTATTTTTTATCATCAATTTCTGGGTGATGATTTCGGCGATGCTGCACCAACCATACAACGTGATCTTGTTGCCGCTACAGATCGTTGCGAGCTCGACGATTGACACTGCATTGAAAGAAAACAATTTGACGCTCGATCTCGGCGTCTTTGTGCACTGCTGGCTCGGCAACGTATTTTATTTCTATCAGGTAAATATCCCCGTGGATTTCCCAAATCCTTGATTTTTATATTAATATATTAAAATTATATTTAAATATAATATCTATAATATAAAATCCTTTTTCAAGTGGCCCTGTTAGTATTGCTATATAATAACACATATTATATTATTAATAGCATATAAAAAGATTGATAAAGTTTATCAGTTTCATCGACAAAACTTATAGCAACAGATGACAAATTTTTTCGATTAATTTTATAGGATGTTGTTTCGATGAAAAGTTAAGTTTGATAAACTGTTATTATTGCGAATTCGGAATATTTATTTGAATATTTATTTTGTTTATTTTGTAAAAATTAAGCTAATAATTTATTGTAATATATAATGCGTGATTAATGTTTCAGGGAAATTCCAATAGCCTCGCGAGTATAAACATCACAGCGGGATACGTCGGCTTACGTTCCTATATGCCTCTTATTACCGGCGTATATTTAATCATCAACACTTATTCCGCTCCCGTCCTGGCTTATTTCCTGCTCGTTTACCGTCGACAGTCAAGCGAGACACATTGGTAAGTCGCTTTGCGAATTCTAAAGTTCTCTTTCAATTAGTTATCGAATCGTTACGAATGAATGGGTTTGTATTTACAGCACGGATATCATTGCGCGTACGAGCAGTACTTTCATCGCGTGGAGATTACTAACAATGACCGTTTACATGATCATCGTCGTTGGCCAGCGTCATCATCTCTTCATATGGTCGGTGTTTTCACCGAAATTGTTGTACGAAGCGACGTATTCCGCGATGATATGCTGTAGCGTGCTATTGGCATTGATTGTGATTACACTGCAAACTGTAATAATTCCTAGTTACATATCATACAAGAATTAAACCAGCAGAAATCAAATATACATATTTGTGTTTTTTTGACAAACAAGTAATTAAAAATTTATATTTTACACAATTAAATAAAATGTATTATTTAATTTTCGCCTTAAAAAGATCTACTTTATTTTGGAAAGCTGAATCTAGGACTAATAAAGTATTAATCAGATCAGAATAATTAATGAATATGTTACGTTAATGGAAATTTAAATATCGTTTAGAATCGAACATCTTTGATTGATCGAAATTGTATATTCTTTACTCTTAATTTTCTCTTAAATTCTCATTGATCTTCCAACACTTCGACACACTTTATGCAAAATAATATTGCGCAATTTAGTGTGAAAAAATGAGTGAGAGACAAGATATAATACTTGTATAAGTAATCAATGTGGACCAATGATGAGGGAATGCAAGGAGAAAAATTAAATTTATGTGGAGATTTAGTTGATTAATAATAAATAAAAGTTTGCTAAGAATACAGAGGTTTGAATGTATTTCTGTTTAAAAAACAAAATCTCGACAATTACATCGCATTTTATCACTTGTGGTAGTCGACAAAAGTTTGTACGATCAAAATATCTGATTATTTCACAATCAAAGAACCTCGTACCAGCGAGACTTTCATTTAAAATTCGAATTTCTTGATAGGACTTGCAGTCACAATCTCTCGCCGAGTACATTTAATTTGCTAAAATTTCCTAATCACAAATAAGTACAATCTCTAAACACAAATAAGTTACTATCACAATAGGAACATTTATGTACAAGTTAGTCTACATAGCATTAAGATCATCAAATACAAGATTCATCAGATTCATCAGGTACTCTCGCGTTGCTACGGATTTTGAAAAAATCTCTGAAATAAATCTTTCAATAATTATTTTGAGATTTTTCGCTACATAAATTATAAAATCGTTTTTTTAAACGATTATTTAGGGAAAAACGAAATTCAGGGATTAATGATACCTATGTATGGGCATCTAAAATTATGATATAATCACGAGAAAAGTCATGCGCTCCAATGATTATTACGGCTTGTATAAAGAAACTCGGCGTCATAGAAATTACTTTATCAAGCAATCTTACAAAATATAATAGAAACTCTATTCCGCAATGTATATCGCGTGAAAGAAATTCTGCACAATGCCCGTTTAAGCTCATAATTGATGACTCCGTCAATCATAAATTATAAATATGCACGTCGTTTTAGAAAAATACCAATGCTCTATTCCTATCTATCGTTTGGCAATATTTGACATTAATTAAGTACATGAATCTCTCTGTCAAAACCGTTCTAAATCCTTAGAGCTTGCAACAACTGAAGTATAACATCTGTATAATATTTGTAATTATTCCTATATATTAATAGCTCTGCAGCAAATATCTCTTCAAGATGACTTGAACAGGCTAATAAGAAACAACTACAGATGAAAGTGCTTATAATTCCTGTACAAATACTTTAAATATATGTGACGCTGAAATTCTATAAATCATAATATATATTTATAATATTTATAGGAGAAAATAGGAATTATTTTTTTATCTGCGCTTGATCCTTAAACAGTCTGTTCAAATTATGGTAATAATCAAATTATAATACACTTAATATTATACCCGTATTTCTTTTTTTAAACACATTTGTGATGAAGACAAACGATGCCGCAAACTGAACTAAAATGGCGAATTCATTCCCAGCTTTGTGCCAAATTCTAGACGTGCTCTTTTCTGGTATCTAACATTGACTCTGAAATAAGGCAGAAACATTAATTTAACGAATCGGATTGTATCTTTCTTTTGTGAACAATTAAAAGTATTTAGAGAGGATAGCTTACTTGATCTCTTGCCACTTGATTAACTCGTTAATCGCGAATGTCAGTGGAATAGAGAGTAAAAAGAACAATGGCATGTATATTGGAAAGTTCTCGATCTTTTTGCCTTCTTCTCGCCAAAATCTGCGGAACACTACGCCAGAGAACGCCGCTTGCACACATAATCTGTAATAATAATGCAACGATCACTTGTATCTTGTCTCTCTTAAAATAAAACACTATCAATTTTACCAATATTCGCAGAATTGGGAAGTATTAAATAATAAATTAGCGTATCATGTAAGAATTTTAAAATTGTATATAGTTAAAAATGTAAAGGTGATTTCGGCTTTAAAAAATCTATTAAAAGAAAAAATTAAGGAAAGCTTAAAAAAAAAGTAAAAAAAAATTGTAACGATTCCTTAAATTTTGAGTAATGATAATGAGTTACTTTTATAAAGTAACTTTCCTAATTCTTTCCCTTAGAATCTTTCACTTACACAATAAGCACACTGAGAAACCAAGTGCAATTATTCATAGGATTTTTCCTCCATATAGAGTATTCCCTATGCACAAAGCTGACAGATATCGTAACTGAAAGAGAAAAGATTAATATTAATGAACAAGCTTTTATTATGTATTTTGAATATATACATTAATTTTTAATGAATATATTATTATTATTAATACACATAACTTTTCTTAAATTCTGTTTCAAATAAGATCATTAATATAAGTTTTCTCTTAAAAAAGGATTGAAAAAATTTGAAATGTATGTGGAAGCAAGAAAAAGTGAATTTGTAACCAATAGTAATTATTTTAATTAACGAAAATTGAGAGATTAAAGCTGCGTGATTTTGTTTTCAACTTCATTTCACAAATAGATAACTTTTTAAACAAAATCTAATAGTCAATAATATATTGTACTAATATCATACTGGGAAATAATTACCAAAGTGCAGAACTATAAGGGTCAGGGCGAAATGTTGCACGACAAGGATGACGATGGGTTTGCTGCCCCAGCCGTTCCAAATCTGGTCCCGCGGATCCGGATATATATACAGGCACTTGGAATTCTGCGGCATATAGATGGGGCAGAGGGACAGAAAGGAGACGCACTGCGACAGGATCACCGTGATCATCGTCGGTAGAAACTTGCTGCCATAGCACCACAACACGAATAGCGTGATCTATTTATAACACATTCAGATTAATTCCGTTTTTTTTTTCTTTCTTCCAAACACTGTTCGGATTAGCTGCAGATAAATAAGCAGTTTAAGAACCTTTTAAATAAATTGCATTGGGGAATGAGAGCGACATTCTTTTTTTTTAAATAGATTTAGTTTAAACCGCGCGAGTTTCGAAGGAAACACCGGAGTGATTCTTATACTGTGTATTCACCCTCTCTCACCTCTCCATTGACTATGCACTGATTCTTCCCGGTAGCGCGTTGCATTATCGTCGAATCTATCGGCGTGGCGATCATGGACGTCGACAGCACGGGGATGATCAAGCAGCACAACCAGAGTATCTGATCGATGGAGAACAGTGGCGGCAGTAGCAAGAAAGCCGATAATGTTTGCGTGAAGGCAAGCGTGACCGAGCAGCATAGCCAGAATTGCATGCAGTTCCATAGATTCTTCATGTAATGACGAGCCTGTACATGTAGGAAAAGATGAAGATATAAATATTGTTCGTATAATGTATATGTCGAGTATAACATCGTACCTCCATAATGAGATGGAAAATCGCTACGGGATCCTCTCGCTTCACGCTCAACGAGCACGCAACGGAATTGAGCGCTCTACTGAGGTCGACGGGAGAGATTCCTTGGTCCTCCGTGGTGGGCATCAACACGGACACTTTCTGACATACTTGAGGATACAACGGCTCCACCGCCACTCTGTGCGATGAATTTACAAAGCTTTTATAAAACTCGCGGACGAATAGACGAGATTAAGAATCGCGTTCAGAATCTTAGTTCCATTGAGAATCTTATTAGACTGTAGATCACAAAGGGAGTAAAATTACCCGGCGTCAGCCTGCATGAAGATCGGCATGTTCTCGGCGTTGGCGGATGAACCGAGCACGCATACCACCTCGCCATAATCCTGCATGATGTGCAGCATCTCGCGTGTCACCGTGGTGTTGCAGTCGGTGAATAGAGACACGAGCAGCGGCACGTTATCGATTAGTTCTATGTGTGGACGTATCTTGTCTATGCCTCTCGGTAGTTTCGCCTATTCAGGGTCAGTTGTATGACATATTATATATAATATATAGTTATAGTTAATGATTATACAGTTTAATCTGAAAAGGGAGATTCGCTTACTCTGTTGGACAGATCGAAATTGACCGGCGCGCTTTGTTCGGTGCTATCGGTGAGGCAGCTCAAGGACCTCCAGGCCTCCTGACCCGAACCCAGATCGACGCTCTGCACCAGGACACTATCCTCGCTTCTCATCGTATCCTGTTCCCTGAAGTACAGAATTCGCTTGGGAGTTAAATTCTATCATCCACGCATTTTTAGATATCGTTTCTTACCTGTGGCTCATAGCGCTCTTGGCCTGCGAAGTCCCTGTGTTGTTCCATTCGGTGGTCTCATCGTCGAACTTCACTGTCGTGAAATCTGTATTAATGGCACTCGGTGCCGACAAACTCATCGCTCGGCTGTTGTTCAGGTTGGTGCTAAAACGAAAGGCATTCTTTCTTGATGAATACGTCCTCGACTTCTCTAAATACTTAAATCGTAATCGATAGAAACACATCAATGCCGATCGCCAGAAGCCAAGAGAGTGCGTTAAGTTGTCGCAAATTCGATAAAGCTTTCAAAGTAATAAATCGTTGAAAATTTTTCTATCATGCTGCGCTTTTTTGCAATTAATAGAATGCATAAGAAAGTTTTTTTTATTATACTTCTTCATGTTATTTCCTTCGATCAAATTTTTTCCATTTTCTAAATAATAATATAAAGAAATTTTAAGCCACTTCTCCGGTTGAAACTTTCGAAATCAGTTTCTACAAGATTTTATTAAGGTAACTTACACATTCTAGGATTAATATCGTCCTGTTAATATCTTTCTTTTTTTTTCTTTGAAAAGCAAAATGAAAGTTCGATTTTATAATATAATAGGTAGTATTAATCTCTACATGTAATCGGTGTAACGTACCGAGGTAAGACACGATTAAGCAAGTGGCTGGCCTCGTCCATGCAGGAGTAATTAGGCTGATGAGATTGGGCCGTGGGTGAAGGAGTGGGTGAGGACATGGCTGCCGCCTGGCTCACCCACCAACCCACTGGACTCTCGGACCTGATATTGTCATGTGTGTGTGTGTTAGTTACAATCAAGTATATGAGCGTGTATCTCTTCTTCTCGTATGAGTGTCGTGTATTCGCGTGATCAAATGCTGGGCATCGACTCGCAATCTCATTATCGCTCCAACTTTGTTCAGAAATATAATTATTTAACAGAAATGATACGGATATAAATAGAGGTATATTTATAATTTATTTTAAATTTATATTATTTACGATAATATATGAACAAAATTATTAGAGAGAGAATTTTTAAAAATATTCCCGTATTCCCAACAAAACTACATGAGAATTGCCTGAGAATTTTCTAGGTAAAAAAGAGAGAAATCCTTGAGAATTCCAGGTTTTTTCAGGGGTAGACACCCTAGTATAAAGCATTTTTAGTTACACATGTGGAACTTGCGATTCGACGCCCCGAATAAAAAATGAAATATTAGTATCACATATCAAGTATTAGAACACTGCAGCCAAACAATGGTGTGTGTGGCATTATCTGAGATTATATGTAGGATGCCTCGGAGAATTCGGAGGAAAAAATTGACGGTGGCATATGCGGATATCTCTCCAGCCATTGCTGTCTCCTGCAATATACACGTATACATCTTACATTCAAGCTCTTGGCAGTTTGTTCTCTCTAACACGAATTAGAAAATTTGTGCCTGATATTGCATCGTGACCATGCCGATGAAGACCTGATTGCATTGAACGTCGAAGCAGCCTTCAATGTTGCTCACATCGTCATCCTTATTTTCGTTGCACAACAAAGAATCTAAAGAAAAGCGAAGAACACTTTTTAAATGAAATATTTGCGAAACAAAAATTTATTTTGTTCAAAAAATTTTAATATAAAAAATAGAATAAATAAATTATATATAAATTAAAGACTATACACATACAAAAATAGAATAACAAAAACAGAAGATTATTTTTTCCTCGCTTTACTTTCGCTATTCTTCATTTTGCAATTATTAAAATCTTTTTTTCGTTATACAATATTTAAAAAAAGAAGTATCAGATTAATGACTGCATCAACCTGTCGAATGAAACTGCCCAAGTATTCCTCGTACTCTGGGATCGAGAACATTTCTAAAGTCCCACGGCAGAGGGGTCGGGCTTCTATGGGGTGTGTACAAGTGTTTACTGTCCGCGGGAAGTTCCATATATATTTCGGACATCTTATCCCTGATGGCGCGTGTTAATGGTCGATAAGCGAACGCGGTGCAATACGAGGTCAAGCTCGTTCTCTGATAGAAGTCCTGCACTTTTTTCCTGCGATGACGAAAAAAAAGATCGTCAGAGCGTGAAGTTTAATACAAGACATTTCTAAAACGTTCGACCAAGCATTACGAGCGTAATTGGCTAAACATCTTAAAAACCGTTTCGCACAAGTACGAGCAAAGAAATCGAGAGATTGGATAACCGTACCTGTCCGATGCGGAAAGAGGACAGAGATCGTGACCGTCCCAGTATTCGATGCACGAGTCCAGAATTATGTCGGCAGTTCCTTGCGTTAATAATTGCAGACCACCGCCGCTGCGTTCCTTCACAACCACGGCGACCATGTGAGGGAACGGAAACTTCAATTTTGTTGCGATGCTCAGTGAACGCGCGAATTTGATATCACGTCTGACCATTTCTGGTTGCTGTCAACGAAACATTTAATTAGCTCTTTTCAAATTCTGTCTGCTTTCATAATTTATAATAAATATCTATGGTTCAAGTAATTTATTATTTTTTATGAAAATAAATCTTTAAAGAAACAGCTCTAAAAAAAATTAATGTTAACTAATTCAAATCTAAATGTGCAATTGACATGCGTGATGTTTTGTTTCTATTGATGTGGTCAGTAAATGGATGTGCTCTCCAAAATTTTAACAAAGGTTAATCTTATTATACAATGTTCGCAAAATTAGGCATTATAATCATGAATAATACTTGCCACGTGTCTGAATGTGCATAATTGTTGCTCCAATTGAAAAATTTTCTGCGCTTGATCTTGGAAGCCGATTTGCATTGCCAGTTCACACAGACATCTGTTAATATAAACAATTTCAAACTTGCAATTATATTGAAATTTAAACGAGAAGAGAAATCGCAAGCAAAATATATACTGCTTGAACTATCTTTAAGAAACTGAAAAATGACAAATAAAAAATGTGTACCGTCTGTTCGTAACTGGGACCAGATTTTCGTTGTACAGAGCCTCGCAGGTTACATGGCAACAGAACTGCGTGTAATGCTCCTGCGTATCCATGTTGCATGTGTTGAGAAGAATTGCCAGGCCGAGTGGCTTCAACGAGTTGAGATGCTGTCGCCATGAATGATCATCAAATTGCAGCCGGAATGGCAGAGCATGATCGTGCGTGAGATCTAACACCTCAGCGACGGAGTGTGACATATCTGTGGAGTGTCGAAACTGTCATTATCGCTAAATGCCACGTTTTTTTTTGCTATTCCGGTTCTTTCTTACCGTGTTGTACATAAGACGTTCTATTGGATTTCATCTTCGTTTCTTCGGACTCCTGGGTTTTATCCGCTGTTTTGTCCACGCTGCCAGTACTATAAAATAATAAGACTGTAATCTGGTCGACACGATTTTACCGCTGAATTTCATGCAATTTAAGTTACGTTAAATTCCTTTATCTCTTGAAGGAATATCAAATTCTTGAATTTCTAGATACTCGGATTCTTATATCCCGCAATTGGGGGACTACAAGGTGACTACCTCGAGCTTGGTGACAAAGTATTATTCGCGTTACGTAGGAAAAATACTTTCTCCGCTGTGGGATTAGGCCATGAGAGAAGTCCCTTCTTGTCCACGCAACACAATGCCTACAAAAATATGCAAAATATTATTCGACAGTGGTTTACTTTGAAGTATTTTTGACACTCAGTTGTTGATACTTGATATAGTATTTATAATCGATTCATGCTACAATGCTTACAGTCACAGAACCTAGAACATGCAAGATACTCGCAGATCGCGACATCATGTGCTCTTTGCCGAAAAGGATGTCGAAAAAGTATTTCTTAAGTTCAAGCCAGTTGTACACTACATCCGGATGATTGGGACCATTGATGTCCGCGTCTTCGAAAGGATCTATAAACTGAATATTAAAAAATCTATATATATATCTATCATTATATAATTATATATCACATTTTATTTTATTATATATCATAGACATGCAATATATTATTTCATATTGTAAATATAATAACCTAAAAGTCATTTTATTAAAAATCCCGGAAAATTAAAATACTTTTAAGTTTATGCAAATCTGCAAATATTCATACCAACCTGAAGTTTTTTCGCTGAGAGATAGAGCTTGAACAATGCCTTAAAGCGAGCCATGCCGAAGCAATTGAGGAATATCCAGCAAGAGGGGAACACCAATGGCAACAACGGAAGACTCACGGCAATCGGTTGCAACAGGAACATCTCGCTCCAGTGGCCAATACCAAAATAGTTCGCCAAATACAGATAACGGAGCAGATTGATTACGAGAATAACGATCAGAAGTATTGGATAAGCCAGATGTTCGATACAGCAGATCATCAGTAAATGACGCTTGCAATTATGATAGGTGACTGGCCGATCGAGCGCTTGATCCAGCGCCATTCGCAGATTCACCAAGTACGGCGTCTCCTGAAGCTTGTAAATCTTGTTCTTCAGAGGCATGCGAGCCTGCGGCGTAGAGAAGATCTCGTTGGCGCTGTGTACGGGTGGGCTGTAGGTTTCTCTAGTGTGCAAAACCGGCACTTCCGGATCCTGAAAATTCGATCAGTGCAAAAGATTAAATCTCTTGTAAAGAGTTCTTGATTAACTATTCTATCAAATGACTTCTTTATGACTTTGATTAAATTTAAAGTAGCTTAAATATAATATGCTGGACTTAAAATTACATACGTCATACGGCACGCAATATCCGGGTGCTTGTTGACCTGGTTTCATCACGATTATATCACCAGCCACCAATAACGCCCACGGCAAGTTGACTATTTCGCCATCGCGATATGTCCATTGCAGAGTTAGGCAAGGGGACTGTGGACTGCATAGATGCGGATAGTTTTCAGACTTCCATCTGCACGTAGAACGTGCGACTGCAATTTTAAGCATGCATTTATATTCAATATATGTGTGTCACCATGTTAGAAAAATTGTAATATATAAATTGTTCTATAAAATTACTTGCAATCTTAATTTTGAGTGCTAAATTAACGAGAATATTACAAAATATAATCGATTCTGTGACAAATAAAATCATATTCTTAATTTAATGTAGCTTTTAATAAAATATTAAATCTCGGAATCTATATAGAGTAGAGAATCTATATAGATCTATATGAGTAATGCAGAAAATTAAAAACTTGCAACACAAATTATGCTTTTTTTTCGGACATTTTTGTTATAAAGAAATCGACTCTAAAACAGCTAAAGAAATTAAAGTAACAGACTGCGCACTATTCTATGGGATAAATTTAATACATTTTAAAATTACATACCGTTAAGTTGGTCAAGAAGAATTTTCACTCTACGAGGGATCTCTTCGTGTCGTAATTTGTTATCCAGCATGACTAAAATAAAATTCAATACTACTAAACAACAGACTATCAGTCCTTCGTATGGCAGTGTAGAATACCTGCAACGGCACACTCATTTATGGAACACGAGTGTCAGATACTATTACTCGAGCTATTATCTGATAAGCAAACAAAACGGATGAGAAGTAGCCAAGATCTTGCATAAATTTATATTTGTAAAGTCAACGTACCGTGTTTCATTGAGCGTAAAGAACGCAACTATGAGAATAACGGCGTTAATCAACAGCGCAATCGCAGAGGTCCAACAGAGAGTCGTGTACTGGCTGCGATGGTGTAAAGTATCCTTCAGCCAACCTTTGTACTTCCTAAATTGAAAAGAATCGTCACAATGTGAATGCGAGTGTCGTATAAATATGTATTTATACTCGAAATAACCACAATTGCTGTACAAGATACTACTTGTTTCTTCTGTAATCCTCTTCATACTCCTGCAAAACACGTCCAACGTCACGATGCAGTGTATCCAAAGCTATCGTGGTGGTCAAGCCTAAAACTTTTTTAGACTTAGCTTCGGCACTCCCATCCTTCTTAGTATCTTTGCCACTTAATCGGTCGTTCTCCATTTTATTCCTATAAAATGAAAATAAATCAAAAGGTTAATTCACAAACCGTTGAGTCAGTAAAGACGACAAATCAAAAATTTTAATAATATAATCGCTAATAATATCGCGAAAAATGATAGACAAGTTGAAAAATACAGTCGAGAGAACATCGAGATGCCAATGAGGATTATAAGTTTACTAATATTTCTTGAGAGAGAATCGCTGTTTGATACGCAAGAGAGCTTCTTCGAAGTGGTAAATGTTTAGAATAACCCGCTCTTAGATTTTGATAAAAATACACTTAATCGATGTTTTTTTGCATAAAAATAAAGACAGTAAAACTCGTCGCTCGATAGTGTAAAAAGAATTAAAGCGAAAAGAAAATAAGCGTTAAAGATGTCACTTGTGAAGGTTAGAAAATCTGTCATAAATCATACCGATAAAATTCTAGCGATATGAGCATGCGCAGCAATGAAAAAGTACACGAAATTTGAATAAAAATTGATATTTTCACACGTTTGCTATTTATTGTTTATTAAATTCGTGCAAAGTAAAGTTTGCATCGCCTGCTGATTTTAATGCTACGAGATCTATAATTGTATAATTTCACTTGGATTTACAACTTCCTTCCCACGCAAAACGATATCCAAATGTAACGAGGTCTATAACTGTACAATTCTACGTTACTGTGCCTTCCCTCGATTTGCCTTTATCAGGCGCGCGTACACGCGCTCATACACATTCGCACATACACTTGTACCACCTTTGCTCGCTCGTGCGTTCGTGCCCTCGTGCTCGCTCGGACTCGGACTCGGACTCGGAGACTCGGACCGAATGGCGGGAATGGCGGCGAATGCCCAATGTAGCGTCAGTGGTCGGTTATCTTCGGCGTTGTTCGGACACGCTCGGCTCCCACGGTTGCGCGGCGACCGAACTGCGCTACTGCGCAGCCATAGCGACGATTTTTGCTTTTTAAACCTTTGTTTTTAAAATCTAATTGTAAGTAGAGCGGGTTATTCTAAACATTTATATCTTCAAAATTTATCTACGACACGATAAGAAACGCATAATTTTCGAAATCCGCTCGAAATTGCGACAAAACAGCACTCGAAAACATACGATTTGCATGGCTTGGCTTGATATGGCTTGATATTTAGGGCGCGATTCCAGCGAGACGAATCTCGCGAGTCATAAAAATTACAGAATACTGCATTACTGAGCGAAAATACAATCTTACAGAGATGGTTCGTGTCTCTGCTATTCGCAAGATATGTATCACAGAGATTATGTAAGGAATTATAAATAATGTATTTATATAATATAATATGTGTGTATGTGTGTACATACATAATCCAAATATATATGTAAAATAGTATATGAAGGCGATATATAATATATTGGTTTGACGTTATCGATGAAAAAATCCCATGAACATCAATAAGTACTGGTACAGAAGTACTATATCAACGTAAATCTGCGTAGCTGCGAAGACGACTTCGTCGGGACCCAACTCTATTCTGCGTCCACCCATGATTGTCTGGATGTCAAAGTACAAATACTGAAAATGAATAAAATGTTTGATTAATATTCGCTCAGTATATATTATCTGCTCAAATAAATTGTTTCATATTTTTTTGTTTCTTCTAAAAATATTTTTTGTAAATATTAAATATTATTTAAATATAAAAAATTTTTTAAAATATTCTATATGAGATAAATTGAGATACGTTATAATAAATTAGTACATATTATAATTCTCAGAGATGTGAAAAAATTTAGGGATCAAATAAAAATGTATTGAGTATTGCAAAGCAGAAAATTTTTTTCATACAAATTCATATTTGCACACTAACCATGCAGAGCAGTAGTGTTCCAATAATAGAGATTACTAGACGGAAAATCATTATATGAGTGAACAGCAGGATAATTAGCATCGTAAAAATAGCCACGATCGAAACTAGTCCAATCACCATTAGTAAGCCTGGTCTCATTGTCAGATCAAACTGTAATCATATCATAATGTAACAAAAGATTCTTATAATCTTATTTTTTTATATATTTTTCACATTTCGACTATAATATACTTAATATAAAATAAATTAAAAATCAAAGAAATGAAGCTGACAAGAACAATATAAATCTAAATCACATTTGCAACAAAACATTAAAAGAGATAGATAGACCATATAATTTTTCCCAGTGTATAACATGTATCAAATAGCATAGTCTATTACTAAATTGGAAAGACATAAAATTACAAAGAAAATATAGCAAAGACTAGTAGAGAATTCTTTACCTTAGAGAACGTTGCTACAAGAGCTATTATTATCGTGACAACTGTGGTCATGCCCATAACAATAAGTATTACTTCAATGCTATAAAACACGGAGACGAAGGCGGCCAAGTATGACATTCCCAGCGTCTGCGACGCGATATCCAGAATGATTTCAACTGGATTAATTTACATTAATCACCCATTGCAAGGGTAAAGAAGGAAAGTTGAAATTGAGAAATTTACCAGCAGGAACAGGCATATGTAATTGTATGGAGGTGTTCGCCTGGCGTGCACAGAACAGGCCACAGCACAATAAGCGACAATAAAGAAAACCCTATTGAAATTCAATAAGATTTTTATAATTAGATTTAAGTTTATCGAATAATGCATAGAATTCTTCTCATTTATCGATAATTCTATTAGAATTGTATTAAGTAAAAGAGAAAAATAAGAGAGAAAATAGAGTTTTCTCTCTTTCATTCTTATCTTTTTTTACTTAATACAACAGAAACAGCTTTTGCACAAGTGCCAAAGAAATTCCCATTCTTACATGGCGACGATCCACAGGTACCAGTGCAGTATCATAAACTTCTGTGCTTCGTATCTGGAAAGTAATTTGAAGAATCATTTTATAAACCAATGTATAAAATTAGAAAAATAGAAAGAGCAAACAGTTTAATTCAGATACAGAAAGCTCTTCCTCGGATATACTCACACAAACATGAAGATAGATATAACGAGGATGGTAAATGTCAATTGCAATGTAAGGAGGCAAAAGACCTTGCGGATGAAACTCCGTCTGATCGCGGCCTCCTTGAAGTCGCCAACATACTCGTCGGCGTCATCCTCCGGTAGTATGTGCCTCCGGCGCTGCTCTCGTATCCATGCTTTGTACAGCTCCAGATTCTCTCTTTCAGGCAAAAGACGAAACTCCGTCTGATCGCGGCCTCCTTGAAGTCGCCAACATACTCGTCGGCGTCATCCTCCGGTAGTATGTGCCTCCGGCGCCTCCGGCGTATCCATGCTTTGTACAGCTCCAGATTCTCTCTTTCC